TTGCACGCAAGAGAGAAGTATATTGTTGTTGTAATCACGGCTTTAAAATTCAAAATGCGACAAAATAAAATGTTCCGTTTGCGTGCAACCTTTTGAAATGTCTCTTTTGCGTGCAACTGATTTTTATCCCACTTTTGCGAAAAACCTGCTAGCGTCAGTCTTTTATTCTCACGCGTTCAATTAAAGTGCGAACTTAAAATTTTTTTTTCGTTTTTTCGCATTTTTGGGCGGTTTTGTTGATAGAATGGAATGAATTAGGACAATTAATGATGATCTGGCGCAAAAACCGTCAGGAATTTGCCTATTTTTTGGATTTTTTTCGATTTTTAAAATTTTTCACGAAATTTTTTTTTCGTTTTCCCTGGCATTTTTCGAGAAATTTCAATACGATTGAACATATTTGGGCATAAAAAGAGGTTTTTCATTGGAATTTTTCAATTTTTTCGATTTTTTGTAATTTTTTTGCAAAATTTTTGAAGTCCTATAACTTCTCAACGACTCGAAGTAGAGCAATAGTGTCTGTGGCAACTTTTTAGTACTCCTCAAGACCTTTGCATTCCATGTTCTAAAAGTACTAAAAAAGTACTAAAAATGTACTAAAATCTAGTAAATGTTGAAAATCGTAAAAATATCCAAAGGTAAAGGTTTTCCACAATTTAGTACTTTTTAGTACATTTTTAGTACTTTTAGAACATGGAATGCAAAGGTCTTGAGGAGTACTAAAAAGTTGCCACAGACACTATTGCTCTACTTCGAGTCATTGAGAAGTTATAGGACTTCAAAAATTTTGCAATTGATTCCAATTATTAATAAAACCGCCCAAAAATGCGAAAAAATGAAAAAATAAAAATTTAAAGTTCGCTAAACTTTAATTAAAGTTCGAACTTTAACGAAGAATCTCAAAAAAATCCTAAAAATTAATGAAACCTTCGGATGTTTTGATGCAAAACATCATTATTGGGCCCAACAATTTTCATGGCAACGAAAAATTTCAAAAATATCCACTAGCAAAAATTTTGACTTTCAACTTTAATTAAAGTTTGAGCACTTTGAATCAGCATAAACAATACAAATATTTTGAATTTTAAAAAAGGCGCCTGAAAGCTCTCTCGCTTATTAATTATGTAATTCTCAATACAAATTTACGTTTGCGCGCTATAATTTTGAATCGTTTCAGAATTTAGCTTTCGCGCGCCTTTATTTAAAATATTTTGCGCTCACGCGTCTCTGGCGCACTCGCGCCCTGGTGCACCGGCTATTTTTATACTAGAACATTCATATACTTGGAGGTGTCAATAAATATAAATATTATTTATTGTTGTATTTCTTAATAATAGAAAGTAATGATAATAACAAATCAGACAGTATTATCGATGTTGCAAATATTGGAAGTCCCAAAAATATTTCGAAAAACCGGACTCGAAATGGATCAAGCACGGAAATGGCTGTCGATCAATTGCAGGCGAGTGAGAAGTTGATTGCTGAATTGAATGAAACTTGGGAAGAAAAGCTCAAACGTACAGAGCAAATAAGAGTACAGCGCGAAGCTGTTTTTGCTGAAATGGGTGTAGCAGTAAAAGAAGATGGAATTACAGTTGGCGTATTTTCACCAAAGAAAACACCACATCTAGTTAACTTGAACGAGGACCCAAATTTATCAGAGTGTTTGTTGTATTATATAAAGGATGGTACGTATTTACACTGTCTTACCAGCATAAAGCACTAGCTCCATAAATAACCTAATTTACAGGGTTGACACGTTTGGGAACTTCAGAGGCTAATGTGCCACAGGACATACAACTATCTGGTTCTCATATTCTCAAAGAACATTGTACTTTTGAGAACCGGTCTGATATTGTGACATTAATACCACATAAAGATGCTCTTGTATATTTAAATGGCCGAAAGCTTATTGAGCCAGAAATATTGACGACAGGATCTCGTGTCATACTTGGAAAAAACCATGTATTTCGATTTACACATCCTGAACAAGCAAGGGAAATCCGTGAAAAAGCAGTAAATGAAATTCCAGAGTGTGGAAATGAAACAGTTGATTGGAATTTCGCCCAATGCGAATTATTGGAAAAACAAGGAATTGATTTGAAAGCTGAAATGCAGAAACGATTGTTAGCACTCGAAGAACAATTCAAAAGAGAAAAACTACAAGCAGATCAAGAATTCGAAGAGCAAAGAAAGGTAATATGATTGTCTATATTTTAAAGTTATTTCAAATTCTCATACCATCTAAACCGAATTCTAATAGATATCACATGAAAAAATAAACAATGATTTTAACAAATCTGATATATGACGGCCTGAGAAGAAAAACCTTTCCTAAAAAACCTGTGCGCAGAACACAAACACAAAAAATTTTTAGTCAAAAGGCGAACAGCAAATTTGCGAGCGCAAAAACCTAATATATTTACAGCGAGCGCAAAAGCATAACAGGCCTACTTATACGGAGTTTGCATGCTAGTAGGCTTGTTATACTTTTGCGCTCGCTGTAAATATATTAGGTTTTTGCGCTCGCAAATTTGCTGTTCGCCTTTTGACTAAAAAATTTCTGTGTTTGTGTTCTGCGCACAGGTTTTATAGGAAAGGTTTTTCTTCTCAGGCCGTCATATGCACTTTTTATAATATCTGGTAGATTCACCAACTCAGTGGCTGGATATATCGCTAGCATACACATTTTTTTAATCTATTGGGTCTATGCATTAAGAATATCACTTTTTTCTTGCAAAAAATGAAAGTTTATTTTGAAAAAATGGTACAATATTTTTCATTCGATATACTAGGTGGATTGATAAGTCAGGTACTTTTCTATGAAAGGGCGATAGAATATCAAATCTATATGTTTTTTGACAAGCACTTCATAAGACATCTGTCAAAATTTGAGCCAAATCCGATCATTAGTTCGCAAGTTATAGCTCCTGGTAAAAAAATTAATTTTCTTTCTTGATTACGCACCTGCGCTTTAAAATCAAAACAGATAGGTGCATCAAATTCAAATTGGATTTAGTTTGTGGTGTCTCTGAACAATCGAAAACAATGTTATAATGTAGGAAAATTTAATTTAAACATAGTCATACGAGCAATTTCATCGATAAACCTCCGAAGTGCTAAAAATCGACCTTGTCCAAGAAATCATCAAATAAATCAATGACATGATATCATATGATCCTAATGTGATAGTGCGCAAGATTGCTAACACCATGGGCTCACTAAATAAAATAATAGTTGCAAATATGTATCCACATTTACATACGAAAAAGTCAAACGAAAAAAGGCTGCCGCACTTTTCATTTTAAGGAATGAAATACAAAAAGTTCAAAATTCGTGGTGATATTTGGAGCAATATACGGGAACCTGGATATTTGTACACGATTTTGACATTTTGTACACTGATTTGACATTTTGTACACGAATGTGACATTTTGTACACTAATCAATGTACACGATTTTGACATTTTGTACACGAATCGGACATTTTGTACACGAATGTGACATTTTGTACACCGATTTTTGTACACTAATTTGACATTTTGTACACTGATTTGACATTTTTTGGTCATTTTGTATACGAATTTCTGTACACGATTTTGACATTTTGTACACTGATCAAACAATATGTACACGAATGGGATTTTTGTATATATTATATATAATAGAAGCAAAAATGAACTGAAGCGCAATATGAAATTGGTTTCTTATAAACGCAACATGAATTGAGAAATGCACCAGGAAAAATGGGAATTTGGAATGTGTTTTTTTTTGTTTTTTTGCGAAAATGATGAGTGACAATGAATTAGTAGATTCAGCGAAGTTTGGTGACTTCACCGATTTCATAACTTTGTTGAAGATTACATTTCGTTAATTCTTATTATTTTTGGGAAAAATGCTAAAACCACATTCGAAACTTCCATTTTGATGATGCGTTTCTATTGAGTCATCGGATTCATGTTGCGCTTCAGTTCAAACACTCCTATACTCCCATTTTTATTCTCAGCAACATAAATAGAATATTAACAGGTGGTACATAAAGTATGGGAGAGGTGTTTTTGCTTCTGTGGACAGTAGAATTGCGATTGAAGCGAGTAGAATATTATTCGTGAAACATACCCGACGAGAAATTTGCGGTAAAATAGGTGTACGTCGACTATCCGTCGCATATCCGTTTTTGAGTGCGGATACTCGCAATGCGAATAGGTATCCACAATAAAAGTTGCCGCAAAATGTAATCGCTGAATACCCGGCGACTATTCGCGCTGCGATAAATGTGAAGTGGTAACTGGATCGAGTGTGACATTTCGACTTGAAACTTCGTACAACCAACGTGAAGTTGGCTGTGTTCGACGGACTTTTACGTATTGCGACTATACGTAGAATAGTCGCAATGCGATATTCCGCAAATTTCTCGTCGGGATAAATTTGAAACTCCAAAATGTTTCCTAGTTATACTACGGTGCTCTGCATACTGTCATAATTTGCTTTTTGAAGTCACACACACGGTTGTTTTGATGAATGAAGTATAAATATTTTCAATTATTTCAAACTCAACCTAATAAATATAATTAAACGGAATTTGCATATTATGGACATTCGTTATTTTATCTGTTTGTATTTTTGCTGATTAATATTTTACATGATCGGGGAACATCAGGATTTCCCCGCGCGCGTAGCGCGCGGAAACCCAGCGCGGCGCGATTTCTCTTCCACCACTCTGCCCATGGCATATAGGGCTGCCTGGGTTTCCGCCACAAAAGAAAGGACTTTCTTCCTCTCCTAAAACACTCCCTCATATACATTAAACACGCAAAAGAAGTAGTTTGGCTTTGAAATGTAATTAAATAAGCACTCTCAATTGCTATTGCGAAACCTAATTCATAGACGTGCACATTCGAATCGAATACATCCAAACATATACAGCTGTTACAGTACTCATGAATAATCGGCTCAATGTGATTCAGCTTGTGATTCCGTTTCAAATTAAGCTCTGAAAAAAATCCAAATGGGTGACAATGTTCAATGACTTCAAAATTTCATGAAAAAACACACAAGTGTGAACAGTGCACACGTTTTTTTTTTTCAAAATATTTTTTTGAATATCGAATCATCGACGAAGTTCAGGCTCTGCAGATCCCGAATATCAAATACGTAATGCTTATAAATTGTATGGTGTTTCCAGTCTCCTCACTTTTCATTACAAACATTCGAAGCATTAATGTGAATGACGCATTACAAAGTGACTTTGACAGCGAATGTCAATGTATCAGTATCTCATTTATAGTGTAAAAGTGACAGGAAAATATTTCTGGTCGCTGTTGCGTTGTTCTTCCACACACACTGTTTTGCCAAATAAATATATTTTTTTGAAATTAAACTCTCATGAAAACCATCTCGCCATTGTGCATGACCAAGGCTTCGTGATTGCAAACCTTAGCACGCAGTATATTTAAGGCTCGGTATAATATACCAGCATATCGCACACACACAGCTGCCGCACACACTTCTCTCGCAAGCAAACGGTTGCGTACACAGCCATCGCAACCAATTCAGAAACAAAACTTTGCTGTGAACGTAACCGTTTGCGCGCGAGAGAATTGTGTGCGGCAGCTGTGTGTGTGCGATATGCTGGTATATTATACCGAGTCTTAAATATACTGCGTGCTAAGGTTTGCTATCACGAAGCCTTGTGCATGACAATTCAATATTTCATGTGAAGGGAAGTATTTTTAAATTCTATTTAGATAAGAAATTGCAACCTGTTTCAATTTGTTTTAACTTTTTTTATTCTGAAGTCATCTTGTGGTGAAAATAATTCTTACCGATCACTTCATATAAAAAAATGACAATTTTATTCATCAGTGTATAATATGTCTAATTCGTGTACAAAATGACCAAAAAGTGTACAAATGTCACATTAGTGTACAAAATGTCCGATTCATGTACAAAATGTCAAATTAGTGTACAAATGTTACATTCGTGTACAAAATGTCCGATTCGTGTACAAAATGTCAAATCAGTGTACAAAATGTCAAAATAGTGTACAAAATGTCACATTCGTGTACAAAATGTCCGATTCGTGTACAAAATGTCAAATCAGTGTACACAATGTCAAAATCGTGTACACTGATTAGTGTACAAAATGTCAAAATCGTGTACAAAGGGGATTTTTCCAGCAATATACGCAAAAAATAAACCAATTTTTGCAACTATATATAGAAATTGATGTATTTTAAACACAATTCAACATATGGGAACCCATAATATAGTCAAAACAGTGAGTAGACATTGTTCAAATGCTCTAAGGCCATCAAATCGAAAAAAACGACTCATTAGCTGTCAAAAGTGTAAACATCGACTTTTTCACCGCTCTTCAATAAAATAATTTATTTTCGTTTTTTTTTAAATATTTCAAACTGTTCCCAACTTTTATTTGCTACGACATGAAAGTTTAAATGACAATTTCATCGGAAAAAGTGAAGTTCAGGAGAATAGTACAAAATTAAAAAGGAAAAAAGCAGATTATTTTCAAGACTGTTTACAGTGAATACAATCGGTTTGCCACAGTGCTCTTTCGAGGTTGTTAGGACTGGCTGCAATAGGTTTTCCGATCGGGCAGTATTTCACTACGTGTATTATTTCAATATAACCTCAACATGTCAACAACGCAACCACACAGCTGTGAAACAAACAATTGTAATGGATCCAGATATTATGGATGGTCTCTGAATTGCCGGTTTTGTGGTAAAAAAATATTTGTTGAGTGTCTACGCCAGCTTGATGAATTGAGAACGAAGGAGTTATTGCATGCGTTTGAACTGATGTCTAAAACTGTAAGAAGTGATGGTACTTTCGAATGGAAGATATTATCGGACAAACCCAGCAAATATTCCGAATTTCTTCAAATGTTCAGCGCTGATTCAATATTCGGAATAACATGTCATTGCTGTGCAACTAAGTTCAACAAGATAACCACTGAAGTGGAGCACAGAGAAGTATCCATTCAGCGATTGAGTGAAGAAATCGTTAAATCTGTCAACAAATCGATACAAAACAAATTGAATAATGGTTTAATTGATTTAGGTGCATCATCTTCAGCTAGTCATAGTGACAACAAAAACACCAATCCGAAAAAAACACCGGGGCCACAAAAAATCACACCGATAAATGGTATTTATTCAATTCATGTTTCTCGTTTGCCGAAAGATGCTACCTCCGATGATGTAACTGCCATTATCATTGCCAACTCTGAAATTCACACTGATGCCTTTTCTGTTGAGAAAATTCCAAACAAACGGTTCAAAGGTAACTCAAGAAATTTTTCATCTTTCAAAATTTCAACTTTGTCCCATGAAGTTTGCAACAAGATCATCACCTTGGATGATTGGGATCCAAATTACATCGTGAAACCATTCATTCACCCAGTGAAAAAGCAATCTGATGGTACAGCTCAGAAGAAAAATAAACAAAACGCCGAAAAAAAACGAACAACACAACATAATTCTGATAACAACAACAATCGGCAAACCAAAGGCAAACCAAATGCACATTTTCAACGAGAGCAAAATGACAATCAGCGAAAGACACGATATTCCACCAGAAATCATCGTTTTGAAAATTTCTCTCGTCCATACAATCACAATCGGAGATTTCAAAATCAAAATGTGTATAGCCAACGGCTAAGTCAGTGGCAGCAACCTGCTCCTTTTCTGCAGCAACCATTTTTCCATCCGCCGTATGTGATACCAGGTTTGCAACAAATGCATCATCATCCATCACAAATTCCAATGCAAATGCCACAACATCTACCACCACAAATGCTAATGTATGCACAACCTCAGCCATTTTATCACAGTTAAACCCAGCCTTCTCCACCTCATCATTCTGTTTAAATCCACTTTTTGCCACATCATTTCACATTCAGCAGCCACATCAACAACATCTATTCAATAATGTAGTTCCAATGTTGGATGACGCTGCAATGTATTGCAATAATATGAATGGCATCAAAGATAAAGAAAAAGCGATAAACTTTCTTGCTGAAGTGCTTGCGTCGTCTTTCCTTTTTTACATGTTGAGCGAATCACACCTCAGTCCTGATGTCGCCTCTTCTGAATTTTTTCCACAAAATTTCGAAGTGTTTCGCTGTGACAGATCTGCGGACACTGAAAAATATCAGCGAGTCAAGAAGAAAGGCTGGGGTGGTGTACTAATTGCAGTAGAAAAATCGTTGCAACCACAATGTATTGGAACAGCCGAACATCTTGGAGCGGAACAAGTATGGGCAAAAGTCAAGTATAATGGCAGAAATTTAATACTGATCCAGCTATACATTCGACCAGACTCACCGTTTGAACTCTACAAAGCAAACATGAATGTACTACGTGAAGTCGCTTCTAAAGCAAATCAAAACGATGTGTTGTTGGTATCGGGTGATTTCAATCTCCGGAATCTGATCTGGTACACATGCAACAACAATGCTGATTATGATCCTGATGACATTTTTCAACACAATCCAAATGTAGCAGTGGCTATCAATGCGGTGAGTGAGAAAGAAAGAATCGTGCTCGACACTTGCAACGAGCTTGGATTGCATCAAATATGCACACATCACAACAACAACAATCGGTGGCTGGATTTAATATGGACCAATGAACCCAACTTGTTCACATGCAACAAAAATGACAGCGACATAGCAAAGAAAGAATCACATCATCAAGCGCTTGAAGTAATCATCCATGAAAAAATTGAAAAGAAAGCCGAAAATCAAAGTCCGTACAAAGACTTCAAGAATGCTGATTACAATGCAATGAATGATTATTTCTCAAATGCCGACTGGAGCAGTATTATCAACGAACCCGATCTGAATGCAGCAGTTGACCACACACTCAATATTATAGCGACATCTATTATTAAAATAGCTTGTAGTAAATGCATTTATAGCATTTCCCTGTAGTTGCGATGTTTCCTATTAAGTTCCCTTGTAGTACTGACACATTCATGTTTGACACTTGTTAACTACATACCACAGGGGAATTTAATAGGTAACATCGCAACTACAGTGAAATGCTATGAATGCGTTTACTACAAGCTATTTTAATAATAGATGTCGCTATAATATTGAGTGTGCAGTTGTATTCGAGAATTAACACTGCAATTGAAATGAATGTTGAAGTCAAAACCAGAAAAGAGTCCAATCATCCAAAGTGGTTTAGCCGTGAACTAATAAATATGAAGAATCGTGTTAACAAATTGCACAGCAAGAAGAAATTTGATCCGACTGATGTGATAAGAAACCAACATATCGAATTACGTCGTGAATATAAAAAACAATCTCGATTTGCTTTTAGGATTTACAAGCTCGAAATGGAACAGCTGATAAATGAAGATCCTCAGAAATTTTTTGAATACGTCAGAGCGTGTAACAACACAAAAAATGATCTTCCAACTGAAATGGAATACGAAGACCGAAAATTTGACGATCCATTCGAAATTGCCAATTCATTTGCAGCACATTTCAAAAAGGCATACACACAGACAACTGATGGATCTGAAGCAAGTTATCGTGAAGATGATCCCATATTGTTGGACCGATGTGCTAACATTCCACCTATTCAAATCGATGAGGAATTAGTCATGGAAAAAATGAATGAGCTACCAAACAATTTGGTGTCTGGTCCCGACGGAATACCAAATCTACTCATCAAAAAATGCATGCTTTCATTATTGAAGCCAATAACTCACATATTGCACGAATCGTTGAATACTGGAAATGTACCGATCGCATGGAAACAATCTTATGTGAGACCTGTGCATAAAAGTGGATCAAAATACAAAATCGAAAATTATCGTGGAGTCGCCCTGCAATGCATAATACCAAAACTTTTGGATTCAATTATAGCAAGCCATCTGAATTATCACATAAAGAACATCATTGATGATAGCCAGCATGGTTTCATAAAGGGACGGTCAACAATTACGAACTTGGTTGAATTCACCTCACCCACACTGATCAACATGGAACATGGGATTCAAACTGATGCAATCTATCTTGATCTTGCAAAGGCTTTTGACTCAGTTGACATAAACCTGCTCATACATAAGCTGAAAATTATGGGACTGAATGAACAGCTGCTAAATTGGATCAAATCATACCTCAGTAAGCGTGAACAAATTGTAAAATTAAATGAAATCATGTCCAATCCTTTAGAAGTAACATCGGGAACTGGTCAAGGATATCCGATCGGCGCGACATTGTTCATCTTGTTCATCATTGATTTACCACACTACTTGGTCAATTCGAATCTACAATCATTTGCCGATGACACACGCTTCTCGATGCAAATAAATCGAATTGAGGATTGTATAGCACTGCAAGAAGATCTAAACAGAATTGTTGAGTACTTCAAACGAAACCGTATGGCATTGAACGTCAACAAAACGAAACTTGTGTCATATCATCGTGGAAAATTGAAGTTTGCTTATGTTTACTCCATCGGAGGCGTTCCGATTGAGAGAGTTAAAATAATAAAGGACCTCGGAGTGGGTTTGGATGAAAAATAGAATTTTACACCACACATCGAATACATAACTGCCAAAGCTAAGTCAAGACTAGCATGGATCAAACGCTTCGGAAGAGAGTTCAATGATCCTTGGACCATAAAGAGACTCTTTTTCACATTCGTATTACCGATTATTGAATACGGATCACAAATATGGTGCCCATATACTGACGAGAAGATTGCCAGAATCGAATCAATTCAAAAGCAATTTCTACTATATGCACTAAGAAAAATAAAATGGCCACACAAGTTCAAAAAACCACCATATGAATGTCGATTGCTGGAATTGCAAATGACTACGCTCGAAGAACGAAGAAAAATTGCACAAATTTCAACAATTCACAATGTGATATGTGGACATACATCATCGAAGCAGATTCTGAACAGTATATACATTAGAACACCGAAACGTTGGACAAGAGAATCAGATTTCCTATCGTTACCAACGCGTCACAGTGATTACACCAAGTTTGAGCCCATCAACTATATGCTCAAATATTTCAGATGAATTTAACATTAGTACAATTCCAGTCTGTGATACTTATTTAATTGATTTCAATACAAGTACAGATACTGTTAGGCATAGAATAAATGAATATTTTAAGAGAAACAGAATTTGGAGAGATTGAAAAATTGTGAAATTGTAAATATAACTTGTTTTTTATATTTTT